TAACCATTATTACTATGAATAAAGACTTATTTAAATCACACATTTGGGGGAAATATCATAATATATTTGCATATTTTCCTCCAAACACACTTATTTTAGGAGCTTTCTGTCAAGGGATTTTTTTACAGATCAACTTATTTCCACTTTATATTTGCCCAAGAATACATTGTCTCATATTTCCTAATCATAGAAAATTTACGTAGGACATGTGAGGGTTCTTGATTTGATTCAGAGGGAACATTATTATCAGTTCCCACCGTATCACTATTACTGGCACTGTTGTGCTAGACTCGCTATTTCCCACACTTGGGCATGTTGTGCTAGTCGGACACTAGAACTTGCGAGTGGATACATGTATTGGATTCTCTTGCACTTACAGGAAGGTCAACAATTTGTCAAATTTTTCATAAACAATTACAAATGTCACTCAATCGTGTTTTCTTCTAGTTCTGTGACATTGCTTACATTTGCGACATCGTAAATCGGTCGCTGTATTGTCGTAAAAAATCATGTGTGCAGTAAAAAATAAGGCAGCGGGGTTTTCCCATGTTGCTTTTAGAAAGTTGTAAACTCAGACCGAGGCTGTGAGTTAAAATCAATTGTATTGAATCAAGGTATCCCTCTAGTGGGTAATTGAATAATTAGCTTTCATTGGTCAAAAACAATGATATATTTTTAAACAAAAAAGTTTGTTTACAAGTTTTTTTCTTTGATTGAAAGGGAAAATCTTCGCAAGAAGGGAAATTTTAGACTGTTTTTTGGGGTGTTGGCTTGGGGAAGTAGCCGAATACCGGCTAAAGCAAAGAAGGGTAAAAAGGCCCTGGGTGTATAGTATGAAATGTAATATAACAGTACCTTGACTATGTTAGGATGATCTAATTTATGTAATATGCTGACTTCAAGCGGCATTCTACCATATCGTGTATCTTGTACCCAGCAATCACTGAACACTTTTCCCCGCCGTATAAATTTAACAACAACCTGAAAAATATTTTCAACTCTATATAATAAAAGGGTAATAGAGAAACAACCACAATAACTGTAGTAAGTTTGAGGATGTTATATTATAACTATATTTTTCTACCAATCATCTTGGATCTTCTTTAGGATGAAGAATCATACAAAACACACTGATCCTGTTAAACTGCTCATGGTCTAGACTATAAGCAAATGTTTGTCAATTAACTTGATTCCTTCCCATAGAACACTTAAATTTTCAATTTTATACTATTACTAGAAAAAAGTAAGCTGAGACAAAGCAAGAAACAAAAGCTGTTGCATTCATAAGCTGTTTGACAAAGAAATTGTGACATATGACCTAAGAACAATAAGGTACATCTTCTAACATCATACAATTATCTTACGAACTCTATCCTGACTATTCTGTTGCAATTGTTTACATGTTATTGAGCTGTAGCTATTTTCTACATGAAAATCACAATAATAACCTTTGATCAAACTTGACATTACTACGATAGAAGTCTGCATTACACATATACAAATGGAAGAAAAAAATAATCTTTTTTTGTTTGTTTTACAATACCTGTTTTCTATCACAGATACTGGTAGCCATCTTTACAAATCCAAATGCACCTTTCCCGATGGTGTGATGAGTGTGATAATGCTTGCTATAAGGACCGTACTTGATGGCGCGATCCTCCTCGGTCTCTGGGACATGAGCCTCCACCAGAGGGTCTTCCTCTTCATCTAATGGGTCTTTTGAAGCTGACTGAGCTTTTTCTATCAGGGCCTGGATATAACAAGTCAAGTTATTTCAAACATTAGTTTATTCATATTTATCTAAGGCTCCTCTTTCAAGTTCTTGCAACTTCATCTATGACTAGATGGCTTCCTGGGACTAACCAGTACTAGTGTCATATGAGCCAGCAGGGTTGTGACCAGTGTAAGGTTCAATCTCAAAATATCTGGGCTGAGAGGTAAGCTGTACTAATCACTAGGCAACAAACACTTTTTAATGCCAAGTTATCAATTTTTAAAGTTTAAGCTATAATTTATATAGCCTCATAATAAATTGAAACAGAAAATAACCAAGGTGTTTCAAATACTAACCTCCTGATCAGGGTATAGTGGGCACCTTCATTTTATTACTATTCAAATTTATTTGGAATTTTTTTTTGAGATAACCTGGTCAAACTTCAAAACATCCTATATATAATGAATAAATACCTCTCCCAGACTATAGTTAGAGTGGTCCATTGTACTGTTAAGACTAGATGCCAGGGTAAGATTGGCGTACGACCTTCCATATTCTGCAGGTTCCTCCGGGTCACGAGACACCCACATACAATAAACCTCATTACCATCTTCTAGTTGTACACGCTTTATTTGAAACACAATACCTACAAACAAATAACATGCAAGTCTCAATCATCATACATCCAGACATATGATATCATAGCAAAAAAGGCAACTTATTTTTATCATGGTTTATTACTACATGTACATCATTTGAAAGGGAATTCTGTGTCATACAAATGATGATTTTGTGGTCAAAAGTCTTCAATTATTGTATATTGCACAAGCTGTGGACAAAGTTTTTGTCTTTAATATTATTCCTTGTACAAGCTGTGGGCAAAGTCAGCTCTTATTATTTATTTGATAAGCAGTTGCCAAAATTTTCTAAAATTTTTCCTTAGACTAACTTTCTTTGGTTTACAGATATCATTGTGACTTCTATGACCTTGACCTTTGACCTACTAACATCAAAACTGATAGGATCACTTTCAATTAATGACAAAACATCCCACTAAAGTGTTTTTTTTTTTATCTACAGCAGGGACTTCCCCTCAAGAACATTCTTTCAAATCATACATGTTCCAAGTAAATGTAATTTACATTCTTTATAAATATTATGCTAATATTATTTTTCCAAAATTTAACAGAAAAAGTCACCTGTCTTCCTCTACCTATGGAAAAAACAAAAACACTCCACTAAATCATAAGACAATAAAGTTTCAATTTAATTTGTAGGGAGGTTTTATTACAACTGAGAAAGTAGACAATTACCAAGTAATGACTGGTCCCTGTGTTGACACTGTCCTTGAAAACTGCCCTCGGGAAACATCATAGTACTGTTCGAACTGTAATCTGACGACCGGGATCCATTTCGCGTCTTTGTCACATATCGCACACCTTTCTCATGTGTTTCAAAACTTTTCAAACTTGGTGAATAGCCCTCACTACTAAGGTCACTTAGTTCCAAACTAGAAATATCTAGATTGTTTTTATATTCTGGCGAATCTATACCTTTCGGAAAATAAACTTCAACTCCTGGAGTCCCTTGAGAAGAGCAGTTCATATTACGACTTTCATTTGGCCGCAGAAAAGACCCAGAATCCTCCAAGTTCCGACTCTTGTTACGGGAGTTTAGGAACTGGTGAATACTGCTGCGATGAAGTAATGACTCATCAATGTCTTCTATCACACTGATAAAGGATTTATCGCTCTCCTCCACGGAATTAGCACATTTATCAGAATCAATACTAATCTCATTGTTAACATCAGGCACTTCCTTTTCATCCTCCATCTTCTTTGCTGAAGAGCACTTCCCTTTCATAGCACCATCACTTGTATTTACCAAGTCATCCTTTTGTTGACTTGCATTACTATTAATATCATTGTAACCCGATTCTTCCTTTAACTTACTCAACACCTTTCCATCTTCAGAAGTGTCCTTTTTATCTTTTTCAGTGTCCTCACATTTCATATCGTCAAGTTTTAAAAGTCCCACTGTAGCAGCTAAGAGGTCATCTGTTGTGTTCAATTCAGATTTCTCAATATCTTGATCAGCTTCAGCACTAAAAGAATCAGTATTTGTCATCTCGTCTCCACCTTCTATTGCTGAACTATCACATCCAGGAGAATTCTTCTGTGAATCTAATCTCATAATGTCTGACAGGCAAGGTGAGGCAAGTATATCACTTTTCTCAAGTTTTTTAATATTCTTTGAAACAGGTGTTGAACTTTCAACACTTTGGCACACTGTGAGCTTATCTAATTTTGCATCAATAGCATTGTTATTTTCATTTTCCTGTTGTACATCAGGGGAAATATTTTCTATTGCATACTGCCCAGAGTTATCTATTTTGTACACAACGGTATCTGTTGAAGATGTTTTATCAATCATTTCTTTGGCAGATCCAGTCTCACATATTCTTGGACTTTCAATGGCATCAACTTCTGGAAGACTTTTGCTACTGGTTGTGCTTGTATTAGTACAAGTTGTGTCCCTTGCAATCAGAAGAGTTTCTGTGCTGGAGGTTGAAACAGTGCTGTGGTTTGGTGAAGAGTTGTCAAGGGAAGTAACTGCATCTATTTTCAGTTCTGCTACTGGTGGCATCACAGGCTTACTGGTAACTTCATCGTCAGTCTCCTGTTCAAAGGCTTCTAGTGATCGCCTGGAAAAAAACTCAGACATACAACTGCTTTTGGCTACTTTAAAGGTAAAGGTCATTTAGAGGTCATGGTTATATTTTAAGTCAGAATGAAATTCTCATCAAAACCTCTGTATGATTAAACTAAAGATCATTATAAACCTGGTTCCAGTAGCTTCAATTCTTCCATCACTCAACACTTCATATTTATGTGGAGAGTTAAAGGGTTATTTGTTTTAAGCTAATATGGTATCATATTTCTGCAAGTAATATTATAGTATCAACTGAACCTGCCACAGGAGTGGCAAAATACACCTTCCATCTCTTAGATTTTATGTAGGTCAATTTTTCATCTTTTTTATCCTAAGGAAACACTAAATTCTTGTACTAACCTTTTACAGGGTGGTTTATTAGGTGTAGAGGTAACCCCTGGTTCATGCAGGTCAAACCCTTCCAGGTTGCCATGGAGCCCTGTACTGAGGCTCAAACTTATACCAGGGTCATCACTATCTGTGCGACTTGTTCCTGGAAAATCATTTGTAAAAACATGTCCACACATGTACGACTGTTATGAATTCACATACAAAAAAGTACCTCAAAAACACAGTCAATTTAAAAAAATTTTTTTTTAACTATGACCAAAACTAGAAACTAATCTCAAAAAAAAAAAAATCAAAAAAAATCTATAAACATATAGCTTCTAAAAGTTCTTTTGCTTGCAAGGGAGTGGTCAAAAGTTCAAATCTCTTGCACGATAAAATTTTGCCTGATGCTTTTATGTTGAATTTGTAACATATAAAAGAAAGTATTTTTTATAACCCACTCTTGAAACAATCAATAAATAACAGGGGTGTCAACAAGTCTAAATTTAAAATCCTGAAAAAGCCGGGGGTTTGGGGGCTGCAGGTCCCCATTGGGGTCAAGGGGCAAAGCCCCTGTGGGGGGTCTAGGAGGGCCAAGCCCCCCAGGAAAAATTGAATTTCAGCATTTTAAGATGCACTAGAAACAATTTCCCCAGACACTTCACCAATATTTTTTAAATGTATTTGTCATAATTTTTTGCCATTTTCACTCTGAGTCTGACCAAGTCACATAATTTTTTTTCCTCTGACAGTATAGTCTAAAACCTTTTATCGTATGTGTTGCATGTTATCAAAAGTTATAAAAGTTGAGTGTAAACAATAAAAGATAAAACAACTTTTAAAACAAGCACATAACTTCGTAGTAGTTTTTTGCATTCCTTAAACAACCTCAAAAAGACAATGAATTGAGAATTTCGATCTTTGGTTGTAATCAGTAGATGCTTGCAAGCGATGCGCCTGGTGATTTTGATCACGATGCTAAAACCTATACATCCCGTAACGGTAGCACTTATACCGTTTTTCGTCGATTTCTTTTTCATGATACTATCGTTAACTACAGTATTGTATCCATCAATCACCGAGGATTTTTTAAAACAACTGAACCCTTACCCCCCCCACCCCTGAATTTATTCATCGAATTTGCACTTATCTCAGAAATGACTTTTTGGCGGGAAAATCCGGACTTTTGACACCCCTGAAATAACTATCTACTGCAGAAAGTTTATCCATCTCCAACATATTGAGGAGTTTAACCCTTCTTTACTGAGGTGTTTACCTTTACTACTAGATCTGGAGGAATTTTTCCCACTATCTTTACTGTGAACAGAGAGTTTGTCCTCATCTACTCCTGACACTTGCATACTGTTCTCCACTAGATCCAATATTTCATAGAAGTCTGGAATCAATGTTGATATATTCTGAAAACAAAAGAAATTAATTTTTTCATCCCTACCTAGATTTTGTATAATGGATATGTGGTAGTTTGTAAATTGTCAATTGTTCATGTGAAGAGATTTTGATACAAAACTGCTAAATTATAGGAGCCGCTAGTTGCCCGTCTTGTCAGGCAGTCAAAGACGTCACAAAATGAAAATGGCTGCAATATACCAGACATTTGTATTAAACTTATATGTGGTAACTTTTTAATTTCCATTTTAAACATCTTTTTCATATTGGCATTTCAAAAACAGAAAATTTGCTGGCATTCACAATAAAACTACTCACCTTGCCAATAATTTCTGAGCTCTTAAAGCCAAACAGCATCAGTGAAAAGTTCTCATTTATATTGTGTATAGTGCCGTCAGGGAGAAAGGTAATCAGCCCACTGATGTTAGCAAACACCCACACGACACCTTTGTAAAGATCATCACAGTCATGTAAATTATCATCATCCTCGTCTTCTATCATTTCTACTGCTATACTCAGTGGAAAATTAGCACCATCACGTGTCCGTCCGGTAGCTCGTTGTTTCCTCACATCCTATGAGGAAAAGTGAAAATTTTGTTTTTCCCATGGATTTCAAATCAAATCTTATCTGCTACATAGATAATACTGCTTTTAAAATCATGTGGTGAAGGAAGATCTCATGAAGACCTAAAGTTAACGGTCTACAGTGAAGACTCTATACTTATACTATTTTATAGTGATTAAGGCATAACATCAGAGAAAAACCTAAGTAAAAAGAGACCAAGTTTGAAGATTGATCAAAGGAGCCTTATAAACAAACCTTTGGCAGCCGTTCTCCTGGAACAGGTAGCTTGAAAGCAGGTATCAGATCTTTTATATGTGTACCTTGTACATCTTCCCTTTCATGGAAACCATGTATATATGCCAGCTGATCATCACATGACACTATGGTACCCTGGCAAAGTAAATCAAAAGCAATGTTTCTTAATAATTTGTTAAAAAATTATATCAACTATTCAAATATATGAGATTTTTTTTTGATATTTCTTCTTTCTAATCAGTGTTTTCTTCCCAGTATCAGAAGATTACAGGCAAGAATCTGGCCAAATTCATAAAATCAAACTTATCCTTTTTTACTATTTTTCTAGAATAATGTAATAAACAGAAATTAAATAAGTTTATCAAAATAGAATTCCTGGACTTATAGGAGAGGCTCAATAAAGACATTCCAATCTGCTTAATATGCAAATCAGATTTATAGTCTAGTATTTCATAACATTATTTTGTTTATATAACATAATGAGCTTATTTCACTGCACTGGGAATGCAGCTGTTACATTATTGAGCAAGTAATGATGAAAATATAAAATACTGATCATATATCTTATTAAAGTTTGATTTATAATCACATTCCATTTAATTGTGCCCTTCACTTTTAAACTAGAACCCAGTTTATGACTTGCACCAAGGTTATAAAAACTAATTAGGCTATTTCAAGAGTATTTTTCCTTAGTTACTTACTGCTGGTAAACAGAGACATTCCAAATCATGAAATGTCAATTGAAAAGAAAAAATTCTAATTATCAGTCTGCATTAGTAGCTGCAATTTTACTGCCTCAACCAGAAAAGGCAGCCCCTCAGCCACAAGGGTCCCCTTGAAGGAAATATGAATATGAAGCAACTTACATCAGCAGCAAATTTCACCACAGCCACAGTTCTCTCCACTGGTTCCATCACAACCAAACACCTTGGCTGTTTTGATGTCTCCAGTTTCTTCACCCACATAGATACAGGAAGAATCAATCCATTCTTGTCAACTGCATCCACCTGTTGATACAGAAAATTGTACTTGAAATTTAAAGCTACATTAAACAAGATATGTTTGTAAAACATGTATGCCCCCTATCAGCAGCCAATTAGTCATGTAATAAGGTTATTATGCATGACTTCTGACCCAGTGATCAAACAATTAATAAGGGTTATCAAGTATCTACTGGTCATGACCTTAACCTTTGACCCCTTGACCCAAAACTCAATAGGGGTCATCTGCTGGTCACGACCAATCATCATACAAAGTTTGAAGTTCCTATGCCTAAGCGTTTTTAGTTAATTGATTGGAAACCGTTTTTACCTACAAGGTCAATGTGACCTTGACCTTTGACCCCTTGACCCCAAAATCAATAGGTCATCTGCTGGTCATGACCAATCACCATACCAAGTTTGAAGTTCCTAGGCCTAAGGGTTTTTTAGTTATTGATCGGAAACCGTTTTAACATACAAGGTCAATGTGACCTTGACCTTTGACCCCAAAATCAATAGGGGTCATCTGCTGGTCATGACCAATCACCATGCCAAGTTTGAAGTTCCTAGGCCAAAGCGTTCTTTAGTTATTGATCAGAAACCGTTTTTACTTACAATGTCAATGTGACCTTGACCTTTGACCCCTTGATCCCAAAATCAATAGGGGTAATCTGCTGGTCATGACAAATCACCATACCAAGTTTGAAGTTCCTTGGCCTAAGCGTTTTTAGTTAATTGATCGGAAACCGTTTTTACCTACAAGGTCAATGTGACCTTGACCTTTGACCCCTTGACCCCAAAATCAATAGGTCATCTGCTGGTCATGACCAATCACCATACCAAGTTTGAAGTTCCTAGGCCTAAGGGTTCTTTAGTTATTGATTGGAAAGTATTTTTACCTACAAGGTCAATGTGACCTTGCCCTTTGACCCCTTAACCCCAATATCAATAGGGGTCATCTGCTGGTCATGACCAATCACCATACCAAGTTTGAAGTTCCTAGGCCTAAGGGTTCTTTAGTTATTGATTGGAAAGCATTTTTACCTACAAGGTCAATGTGACCTTGCCCTTTGACCCCTTAACCCCAATATCAATAGGGGTCATCTGCTGGTCATGACCAATCACCATACTAAGTTTGAAGTTCCTAGGCCTAAGGGTTCTTTAGTTATTGATCGGAAACCGTTTTTACCTAAGAGGTCAATGTGACCTTGACCTTTGACCCCTTGACCCCAAAATCAATAGGGGTCATCTACTGATCATGACCAATCACCATATCAAGTTTGAAGTCCCTAGGCCTAAGGGTTCTTTCGTTATTGATCGGAAACCGTTTTTTACCTACAAGGTCAATGTGACCTTGACCTTTGACCCCTTAACCCCAAAATCAATAGGGGTCATCTGCTGATCATGACCAATCACCATACCAAGTTTGAAGTTCCTAGGCCTAAGGGTTCTTTTGTTATTGATCAGAAACCGTTTTTACCAAAGAGGTCAATGTGACCTTGACCTTTGACCCCTTGACCCCAAAATCAATAGGGGTCATCTACTGATCATGACCAATCACCATACCAAGTTTGAAGTTCCTAGGCCTAAGGGTTCTTTTGTTATTGATCAGAAACCGTTTTTACCCAAGAGGTCAATGTGACCTTGACCTTTGACCCCTTGACCCCAAAATCAATAGGGGTCATCTACTGATCATGACCAATCACCATACCAAGTTTGAAGTTCCTAGGCCTTAAAGTTCTTTAGTTATTGATCGGAAACCGTTTTTGCTTACAAGGTCAATGTGACCTTGACCTTTGACCCCTTGACCCCAAAATCAATAGGGGTCATCTACTGGTCATGACCAATCACCATACCAAGTTTGAAGTTCCTAGGCCTAAGGGTTCTTTAGTTATCACTCAGAAACCATTTGGTCTACGGACCGACGGACCGACAAGTGCAAAGCAATATACCCCCTTTTCTTCGAAATGGGGGCATAATAAATATTCAAAATTATTTTGCCATCGGCCTAAAAACCAAGCATTCTACAGTTTCATTAACCTTTTTAACAATAATGTTGTAAATGTCATCAAATATTATTCATAAATAAGGATTTTAAACGGAAAACTCCACGGTAACACTAAAGTTCGTATACGAATTTTAACATGCAAATGAAGATTATCATCAGCTTGTGTATGCGTTACGTCACAGTGTTATAGCTGTTATCCGGAACACAACAAATATGATACTTTCTTGTGCAAACACACTTTAACCGTTTTAGCTTCACAGTGCACTAGGCACTTTTTCCGTTCAGAAAAAAGTAATCATCTCATAAAAAAATTAAATTTGTATGAAAACATCCGTTACAATGCAGAAAATTACCGTTAAATTAGGACTGCTACTTATAGTCATGTTTGTTGATTTGATATTGATGTACGGATGATCCGAAGACGGAGTTTCTCATGCAAACTGAAATTGTACTTCCCATTCCACAATGAGGTTGCACATTTTTATGCTTATAAAACTCATTTTGGTTGTCTGGACACCAAAGTAAGATCCGGAGTCAATATGAAACCCAATTTGTTAATGAAATGTTGCTACATGTATTTCTGTTTTTATGAAATTTATTAAATGTAGCTTTAAAGAATTTTAAAGTTACTTAAATGGGCCAATAAATCCATAGAAAAGCAATGCTTGTTTCAATGCTACAGATACTCTGTTTCAGTGCTTTCTGGATATGTATTATGACAAACACTGTAAACTAAAAGGTCCAGCTTTACTGATGGAGTAAACTAGCAAGATATCCCTCCATTCATAACTTCATGCCAAAACCAAATGCAGTGATTTTTTGTTTTGAATTTTCACTACACTCTAAGGATTTCTAAAGGGGTATATACAGCATAATCAACCATAAGAAATCTAAAGCCAAAAACTGAAAATTCATCATTTCTTTTCAAAAATTTAATTTTTATGTATCATGTAATTTACAAAGAAGACACTATTTATAGTGACAGCTTTTTTCTTTCAGTCCATAAAATTTGATCTTAGTCAGCTGCTGTTCAGTCACAGGGACATTTTTGAGGTGAAAATATTACTATATGTTTTTATTTTATAATAAAAACATATGGGAAATAGAATCACAGCATTCTATAGGCAAGCTGGATATGTTTTTAACATAAAGTTACAAGTCTTTTTCCAGGAGGGATTTTGTTAGTTTAAATATGATGAAGTTGGAAGTTTATATAGACCACTATCTAGTTCACTTCCTGGAAATAAATGACCAGTACTGGTGTAATGGGGAAACATGGTTGTAACCTATTTACGGCTCAAACTCACAATGACTGGGTTGAAAGGCAGACACATTAACCACAAGGCCACCACTTCCCATTACTGGGACTCCCCCCCCCCCAACCTCAATAGTGAATGGTAAGTAATTCCAAACCATGGTCCTTAATCACTAAGCCACAAAGGCTCCTGATTCCTTCAAAAATACTCTTACCACTTTTCCTGTCAAATTGACAACCTGGCCAGACGGTTCTAGATGTGACTCCATGATGGTAGCTTGTTCCCGCGGCTTCAATCTTACAAGATCTTTCAACATCATCCCGATTAACTCTGTCTCCTCGTAACCAAACAACTCACATGCCATCTCATTGGCTACCAGTATCTGAATGAGTAAAATAAATACATACATGTATATGTATTACCTACAAATGAAACAACATCACTTTTTTCACCAAACATATTTTACGAAATATTGCTTTTTATTCAGATATATTGCTTTTTATCAAGTTAGAGATCAAAACAGAATCTCAATGATATACTGATGGGCATTTAACTTATACTAATTCTGGCTTTATTTTACCAGTATTGCTCAGTTTGTTTTTACATACAAATGCTAACTTCTTCACATGAATTACCAGATACAGTACATTTAAGGAGTTTTATTATATTTCAGTTGCTGGGTAAAATCCCCTGCAACATGTTATTAGTCACTCTGCTACTTTTGGTACAAATATTCTTTTACATAAATTTCTGTCTGGTACTACTAGCAACTAAATGTTTTGCATTTTCACACTGTCATCTTTTTAACAAAGCCATATTTTAACATCAGCATTGTCAGACGTGATTGAAGACATTAAATTACCTCATCTCAACTCATTACCGTACATCTCTTTAGCAGCTTATTTTTATAACTAATTTGAGCCACGTCACGACAAAACCAACATAGTGCGTTTGCGACCAGTATGGATGCGGACCAGCCTGCGCATCCGCAGAGTCTGATCAGGATCCATGCTGTTCGCTTACAAACCCTATAACAAGTAGAGAAACTGATAGCGAACAGCATGGATCCTGATCAGACTGCGCGGATGCGCAGGCTGGTCTGGATCCATGCTGGTCGCAAACTCATTATGTTGGTTTTGTCATTGTGCGGCTCATTTTTGTCTTTTTTTATAATAACAATGAAAACAAATATACCCCATGGCCAAAACAAAGTTATATACAAGGTTGCGTTACCTAACTCTGACAACCTTATCATAATGCATCCTGACCCCATCAAGGATTAAAACACTCATAAGGCCTTGGCTCCCATATAAACAATAATAAAAAAAATGTTTCTTTCGTGGGTAATAAATAGATTACAAGGGTGTAGTCTGCATTCTTGCGTGCAGTTATGATGCAAATTATTGTAATAACCGGACTGTACTATTCTTGAAACATTTCAACAAAAGCCTCAATTTCTTAGTCTTACAGGACATGCATTTGTTTAGAAGAATTGATTTTATCTATATAAAGCTTCTTTCACATAGATTATATCATATGATGCAGCTCAATTTCAAGGTTATATAATATTACTTTTAATTTTGGTTATACGTGACATCAACACTGTAAAGGTCATATGGTGACTTTCCAGCTTTTGTGGTGGAGGAAGACCTCAAGTGCCCCTACATGCATTATTTTTGGAACAGACGTGCACCTCCAATTACCTGTAAGCTATCTGGTCAGCTTCCTCACATGAAAGAGTCCAAACGTTCCTGGATTTTGAACATACTGCGGTGAGGGGTAAGTGATTTAAAGTAACCACTTGACCAGGGACACCCCTTTTTCGCCTTTTTCATTATTATTTACTATACATGTATTTATATAAAAATCAGTAGGATATAACCGATAAGTGATGATTTTGTGCATGTGCCATACTCTTAAGGATATATGGAAACATATATCTTTCATAAATGTGTTTGAGAAGTCTTTTTCAAAACTGAAATAATAATGTTTGCAGCAGATATATAGCTTAATACACATTAAACTTTTACTCCATATATACTCAATATAACTCAACTTGTGCCACAAGTAATAAAGCTCACCACATGCTTGTTTTGTTAAACATTCAAAGCTTTGTTAAATGACAACTCACAGAAAATTCTATATATCTGATTATAAAACAATGATGCGAGTTTTGTCAGACAGGCAGAAAGTGATTTAGCCATATAATTAAGTTGTCATACATTTTAATATACGGTGACATTTTCTGCATGACAAAAATCAATACCTTTACTGCATTTCATTTTCTTAAGTCACGATCACTTAGATTTTTCCTGCCGTGATTTCATAACTATCTGCAGTTTGAAAACACCATAAAACTTGCACTTTTTACAGCACAAAACACCATATATAATAACCGTCCCTCACATTGTTTAAGCCCCAATCCCCTTTCTTTTGAAATATTATAATTACTACTAAGACAGTTTGTTGCAAATCAAAGAAAATTGGAATAAATCTCAATTTCTTATTCATACTTAAGTTAATGTCCCCCCCGGCCTGAAAATATAACACCCCTGGGAATTTATTGAAGTGGTTTACACAGGTTTTTCTACAGGAAAAAGACATATAAGGGCTTTAAAGTGAATTGGAAGATCCGTAATACCATAAATAATTATGATGATATCATGATAGCATTCAGTAATCACTTGAAGCACTTTAAAGCTTTTATCAACATTGTTTTTCAGAAATGTTTCATAACAAAATCCAAATTACACATTTCTATTGTTTTTATAAATATTTGAAATACTATAGATACGCCGAGTATAGAGAAATACACTTTAAGCCTTTGAGCAAGTGTTCAATTTTCTTTAAAATGTAAAAAATAAAACAAATATAATCCAATTTTCATTTAAATTATCTGTGTTTGGTAGCAGAATAAATAAACTTCAAATTAGATTATTTTTATTCAACAAAATCATTTATAATTCACTTAACCCTGCCTAGATCTTAAATAGTTAAAATTTTACTGATTGCATTCACCATAGATTACCTCTGAAGTTTTTCCATTGATAGTACACAAGGCTTTGTTTGGGTTTCGCACAGTTGACGGTAGAGTTGGTCCTACGTCACAGGCTCGGATGTGATTATAGAAAGACCAGCTTTCAGCCATGCTTCTCTCCCCTGACGAGACATTCATGCTATTCTCCTTAGAGGAAATATAGCTTACTTCCCTTGATGAGACATGGCTTACTTCCCTTGATGATGAATGACCAGACTGGTCCATACTTTTATCAAGTTGGGATTGATCAAAGCTTCTTTCAGCAGAATGGTTATACGCTCCCATGGGAAAAGCTGAGGTGAAACTTACATCGTTCAATTCCGAGCCTGTTAATAAAATATTCATTAGAGCAGTCTGCAAATGCATGCTGTAAACTTACTGAACTTTCTACAAATAATTAAATACCTATGTTTCATTGTTCGCACATTGAACACTTTTTTCAAAAAATACAATTTGCAATACCTTGTATTTATTTTTAGCTGTTTGTGCACTTGATGTATCTACCAAGACTGTCTTAAATAATTACTACTGGCAAACAGGCATTCCCAATGCCAACATATGTTTCTTTCCCATATTGAGAAGCATTAAATTCCCAATAGTCAGTCTGCATTTACGTTGCTATTGTTTTTCTGTGAAAATTTTTTTGTTCAAAAGTGGGATCCCTTGGAATTACATAACCCTTACTGGTCGGAGACCATCAACCAGACACTTTTGGAACATTTCTCCATATAGATTTCATAATTTTTAACCTAGAGACCAAAACATTTGACACAGTTCAGCTAGGTTCTTCTCCTAACTAACAAACTAGTTTGTTTATTTCTGATTTTATTGACACATATATCTGAGGCTCGACAAGGAGGGTATCAAAATTACCAAAATTGTCTACACTACAGTACCATGTGTCCGGACAGATATGTACATGACGTGATTTAATTCAGATAAAAGCTTGGGTGTTTTGATTTTTAACATGATATACAATATGTCAGCAACAAGTGCTGAAGTTTTGGATATTCTATTATTCACTCTGCAAATGATTATAGCTGGTATATGAGGTCAGGCATTGCTTTCTTAACCCCCAAATTTCAACGTCAACATTCTTAAAATAGACATTAAAATATTAATATTTACGGAGGTTAAAATAAATTTATTTACTTAATTTTAAAATAAACATGCACTTATTGTTGATAAAAAAGTGAATGACAATCATTGAACAAAGAAAATACTAAATTAAGCATTTTCGGGGCCGTCCGGGTTTGGTGGTTGTCCGGTTTTGGTGGTCCCCAACCAGTACCATGCTAAATATCTTAAATAGACTTTTCTATCTTTCCATCAAGACAAAACTATTCATCACTTTAAGGTAAAATTTCAAAATATGTACTGACTGAATAGCGCACCATGATCAGAGAGCACAAAAATGAATGTGACAGCTGATCTTATTGGTCTGCACTGGTCTCATTCAGGGTATAGTTTCAGTTGCCATCAGCAGGATAAAAGTTTTAAAAACAAGAGCTGTCGGTAGGACAGCACGCTCGACTATTCTAAGTGCTTGATAGTAAAAGAGCCTTGATAATTTTAAATTTTTTAAGTTCACAAAAGGGCTAATTTTTTTTATAAATTCATGTTATAGGCCTTTGAGAGACTCTAATTATACAGTATTGGCTTGACTATTCGGAAGGTAATGTCACAAGGGTGTTTTATTGAGTATAATAATACTAATTACCTATCAATACATAAATTTGACAGAAAAGGTACAAAGGCTTGTTATTAAGATGTTTTATCAAGTAAATCACTGCTTTATTATTATGAATGCATAAAATTGTCCCAAAAAAGGGCACAAACCCTTCAGTAGTAATTGAGATAACAGCTTACAAGCAAAACTTTACCATGAATTTCTAAGTTGAAAAAGGGGAGAAAAATCAGCCTAAATGCAAGACAGAATTAGGGATCTTTGTCAGTGACCTACAATTATGACCCTAAATGCATATGTGAAGTTTTAAATAAATATCTTTAATAGTTATTGAGATATGTAAAACTTGCATGTGAACATTAACCAAGAGACTAAGTAGAAAAGGGGATATGAATCAGCCTTAATGCAAGATAGAGTTATGGAACTTGGTCAGTGACATACAATTATGACCCTCCAATTATGACCCTAAGTGCATGTGTAAAGTTTCAAGTAAATATCTTTGAAGACCTTTAACCTTTAACCAAAATTTCTAAGTTTCAAAGAAGCAAATAATTCTTCAAATTTTGCAGGCAGAGTTATGCAATTTTGCAAACTGATGTACATTGTTACTATAAAAAAGTATTTTAAATTTCATTTGAATATCTCAAGCAATAATTGAGATATTTGACTTTACAAAAAAACTTTAACCAAAATTTCTAAGTTCCAAAGGGGCATAATTCTGTCAATATTGTAGGCAGAGTTATCCAACTTGTCAATCTGATATACCTTGTTTCTATAAATAAGTATTGTAAGTTTTTATTGAATATCTCAAGTAATTATTGAGATATTTGACTTTACAAAAAACTTTAACCAAAATTTCTAAGTTAAAAAGGGGCATAATTCTGTCAATATTGTAGGCAGAGTTATCTAACTTGTCAATCTGATGTACCTTGTTACTATAAATAAGTATTGTAAATTTCAATTGAATATCTCAAGTAATTATTGAGATATTTGACTTTACAAAAAACTTTAACCAAAATTTCTAAGTTAAAAAGGGGCATAATTCTGTCAATATTGTAGGCAGAGTTATCTAACTTGTCAATCTGATGTACCTTGTTACTATAAATAAGTATTGTAAATTTCAATTGAATATCTCAAGTAATTATTGAGATATTTGACTTTACAAAAAACTTTAACCAACGCAGACGCGGACGCGGACGCTGACGCTGACGCCGGGGCGACTACAATAGCTCTCATATTCTTCGAATAGTCGAGCTAAAAATGAATTAAAGGGCTATTCTTTTATAATTTACACATTTTGTAGATTCTATTAATTACTCCAAACTCCCAATTTTGGCCCTTTTTATGACTCTTTTCATTTTTTTATGGTTTTGGCATTCCCAAAACATTGGAGAAAAGGCCTGTATCATATTGTTATACCAAGCTTACCTGTTCATTATTTTGTAACTGTGAGCCAATCTTTCTATTAATCATTCAGATATACTGAGCCAATTTTATAACATTCATAAAACTGACAGCAAATTGGAAAATAAAACTCTTTATCTAAATCAAGAGAGGTTTTACCAACAAAAGTGTTATTTTAAATAACCTGAAAGTGAAAACTTACCTTTGAAGTTGTCTAGATTTAGTTTCATAGCGGGAACCTTAAGCTTGGACTTTGATGCCTTAGGAAAGGACTGGTTTGCTTCAAATGAGGCATTGGTACCTGGACTCAGTCCCAGCTGTGACTTCCTTTCCTGGTTCCCTGAACGGATTCTGTCAAGCGGCGAAGGATAGGAAGGTGTTCCAAATGACATTTTTAAGTTAGGCAGTTCAGGGAAATATTTCCCCTTGTAAGAAACACCTTTACTACACACTCCATTGTTATTTGACACATTCCGGTCCAAGATTGGGCTGCATGTACCTCTGTCCTTCTGTAAAATAAAATACAATAACCATCAAGTCTTTAAACTAGTAACTGGCTAAATACAGAACTTGCTTATCTTTTAATCTGCACTAAACAAGTTTTATTATTTTAAGGGGAAAAAAAATCCAATAATGTATTGACTGAATAGCTAGTTAACAGCATAGACCAGGATCAGACAGCACATATATGTGCTTGCGCATCCTTGTCTGCAATGGGCACATGTGTGGAACATGTTGCCACCAGTAGGCTAGAGGTTTAACCAACTTTAAACACAAGCAGGAAATCATGCATATTTTTATGGAAAAACAAAACTTCAAAAATTTCTATTGGGAAGAGGCCTTTAATAGGTATGTACAAGGTGAAAAACCCTTCCCTTTTAAGTAAAGTTGGCTTTAGTTTTGGGAATTTCTGAGAAAGGCAGCAGTATAGGAGGAAAACAATTCCCAAATATTTCAAAACTTTCATATTTCAAATTTTGCTATAGCAATCCTGAAGCTCCTAGATACACAGCTCAATCTTGCAGGGTTAGTGTGTACACTTTAGCCGTATCACATTCCTTTTTCTTTCACATACTGTCTTTGTCCATTTGCTCTTGCTTCTCCAACACTGCTGACTAGTTAAGAAGTGCTAATACCTTAAGCATTTACATAAAAAACTAGAAATGTGTCCATAGGACACTGATGCCCCCACACGCCACTGTTCTGTCAATCTTATGACTCTAGGTCAAATATTTTTTGGACTACATGTGCCACAAGTTGAAAACTAAAAATCAACAAAGGGCCATAATTCTGTAAAATTTGGTCGCAGCAAAAAATCCTTCCTTTACTACGATCTACACATTAAGGTTGTTAATCCCTGGAAGTTGAAGCAAAATCTGCAATCCGGTTTAAGAGGAGTTGCGTTCACAAAATTTCTATATAGTATATAATGAAAAAATCAACAAAGTGCCATAATTCTGTTAAATTTGGTTGCAGCAAAAAATCCTTCCTTTACTACCATCTACATATTAAGGTTGTTCATCCCTGGAAGTTTAAGCAAAATCTGCCATCTGGTTTAAGAGGAGTTGCATTCACAAAATTTCTACAAAGCATATAGTGAAAAAATCAACAAAGGGCCATAATTCTGTTAAATTTGGTCGCAGCAAAAATTCCTTCCTTTACTACCATCTACACATTAAGGTTGTTCATCCCTGGAAGTTTAAGCAAAATCTGCCATCCGGTTTAAGAGGAGTTGCATTCACAAAATTACTACATAGTATATAGTGAAAAAATCAACAAAGGGCCATAATTCTGTAAAATTTGGTCGCAGCGAAAATTCCTTCCTTAACTACCATCTACACATTAAGGTTGTTCATCCCTGGAAGTTTAAGCAAAATCTGCCATCCAGTTAAGAGGAGTTGCGTTCACAAAATTTCTACATAGTATAGAGTGAAAAATCAACAAAGGGCCATAATTCTGTTAAATTTGGTCGCAGCAAAAATTCCTTCCTTTACTACTATCTACACCTTAAGGTTGTTCATCCCTGTAAGTTTAAGCAAAATCTGCCATCCGGTTTAAGACAAGTTGCGTTCACAAAATTTCTACATAGTATCTAGTGAAAAAATCAACAAAGGGCCATAATTCTGTTAAATTTGGTCGCAGCGAAAATTCCTTCCTTTACTACCATCTATACATTAAGGTTGTTCATCCCTGTAAGTATAAGCAAAATCTGCCATCTGGTTTAAGAGGAGTTGCGTTCACAAGATTTCGGGACGTACGGACGGACTGACGGACGGACAAGTGCAACGCTATATGCTCCCACATTGTGGGGGCATAAAAACAAGTCATAAAGAATGTTGACAATACGGTAAAATCACTGAAAACATTTTATTCAGAACCCATTACCTTTTAATTTATAACCAAAGCTGTATTTTATCATTGCACTGAGACTGTAATATTCCACATAAAATAAACTCTCTTCCAATTAAATCACAAGAAACTCTACAAAATCTATTACGAGGAACAATCTATCAAAATACTTGTCACAGTTAATAATTCCTTCATTTTGTTTAATCCGTCCATACAAGTGAATAGTTTAAAAGCAACATTCCTGTAGAGTAAAGCCAATACCAATGGTGAGAGCCTATTTTGCTTGAATCAGCTATTTGTTGCCGTTTTTCTCATAATATGCTTTTATTCACAAGGGAGTCTTTATTAAAACACTTATATTGTAGACAATGTTTCCAATTAAGCTAACCAATCAATACTGAAATACTGGAAAATTTTGTACTTCCATACAAGCTCTGATGATATAATATGTTTACATACAGATTAAACCTTAGACTCATCGATGAATTCACTGATCAAAGGTCATTGCCAATAAAGTGAAGTAACATCTAGAAAAAATTCAATATTTACAGTTGCAGCAGATGCTACATGTTGTTTATCGCAGCAGAAATTTTCCTATTGTCTGTTCTGCATGTTATGTTGTTCCTAGTTTATTTTCAATACGATTATTATCACTGTTGATGCACAATTTATAAAGTTATTATAAATTAAAGTTTAATAAATTTACAAAGTTAAACTTGTATTGATTAACTGTTTCCTGTATTTGACTGGTACCAAATTACTGTGCCCTGTACTTAACTTGTATAAAAAAACTATTCTCTGTACTTTAATGGTACAAAATTACAGTCATGTAATGTGCCCTGAACAGTGAACTTCACCTGTACTAAAATTGTGCCCTATTCTTAAATTAGATAAATAATTGTGCTCTGTACTGGTACCAAATAACTGAGTCATGTACTTTACTTGTATCAAGTAATAGCATCCTTTTCTAAATATAAATTGGTGCTTAATTGTACTAAATAACTGTCCTGTATGTATCAATTAATTTTGTTCTGTACTTTACCCATTGTGTCCGGTAATGTACTAGTACTAAATTACTGCATCCTATACTGTATTTGCACAAATTAACTGTGTCCTGTTCTTCACTTAGTGATTTTCCCTATTTTTACAGCCCAATAAAGTCTGTTTCCCCTAGCCAAAAATACACATGTATACCGGTATATATTTTCCCCTACAAATGCTACATTTTCCCCTGAAAGGACCTGAATACATTCTTTACCAGAACCATGACTTAACAGCAGCTGACTTATTTCAGTTAATTGATAAGTTAAATTGATTTGAAAGACAGAAAGGTGTCCCTAAAGATAGTCTCTGCTATGTACAATGCATGTTAAAATTGAAATTGAAAATGTTTATAAACTGTGTGGGTAAATTCCATTTTTAGTTGTTGAAATTTGATTTCAAGTATTCCCCCTTTTCTGATTTATTCCTTTAGTAAATATGGGCTATAGTTTACCAAGTTTGTTTGTTTGTTTCATTTTACGCCTTTTCCCAACAGTATTTCAGTCATATAGGCGGGTAGTTTCCTCACCATCGTTCCTGGAGAGTTACACCAGTACTTGACTACCTTCCTCCGCGCTAAACTACCAAAGCATCTCCCGGGGATCGAACCCACGCCAAAGAGGTAACTGGATTAGAAGTCATCGACTCTAACCCCTCAACCACGGAGGTGGTGGTTTACCAAGTAAATATTTACATGGTAGCATGGTACAAAGTAGCTGTGTACCAAAATGATGGCTAGTTGTAGTGTCCAGCCATGTCTCAGCCAACCATAGTCTTTTTTTGTATTGCATTTACATAAATGAGACCTTTAACTCATGCTTAGCCTGAACAATAGCTTCAAATCAAGGGAGACAATAATCATGCATAATGATTTCTTTTCCATGCTGGAAAGACTTAATAATCTACCCTAACAATTATACTTACAATGTGTTGCAGGAATTATCTGAATCATTTTTTAATTTGTATATAACTAATTTGTATATAACTTTCAAAGGTTTGGGCTTGTGCCCATTTTATTAATAGGGATAGTTTGTAGTTAATTATTTAATTGTCCATTGTGCCAGACTTTCTCAATTATTATTATGTTTACATTAATTATAGATAATTTAAACCTTGTAACCACTAGTTCCCTTTAATAAAGATATCTAATAAAATAATTTTGGTAGTTTGTTTGTTTGTTTTGGGTTTTACGTCACATCGACACAATTTAGGTCATATCGCGACGTTCCAGCTTTACTGGTGGAGGAAGACCTCAGGTGCCCTTCCGTGCATTATTTCAGGCACGAGCGGGCACCTGAGTAGAACCACCGACGTTCCGTAAGCTAGCTGGATAGCTTCCTCACATGAAAGAATCCAAAGTCCCTGTCGGGATTCGAACCCAAATTTTGGTAGTAAAACATGATGTGTATCTATGAAAAATTTATACCATATAATTATGCTTGTTGAGTAATGACTGACTGTTGTCTGTTAATCATAATAAACCTATTCAATGCTGCTGTACAGTTGAACCTTTAACCAATATGGCCAGAGGTTTTTTATGGACTATAGCCTCTTGATTTTGGGGAAAATTATCGCTAAGATTGCTAATTTGGGAAGAAAAAAGCTGGTGTAAGTTCAGAAATTTAGGAAAACTGCATAATTTTGAAGAAAATTTCAATTGGGAAGAGGCCTTTTACAGGCCTCTGTTATAAAAGGTGAAAATCACTGATGGCAACAGCATATAACCAGTAATTGCTCAGTTAAGACTTTTTCATTATTTATCATATTTCCTGGTTTAAAGGGGCATGCCTCCAGATGAGCCAATTTTTTTAAAGAAAATCAACTTTGAGAAAAATTAACTAAGAATTTAAAAAAAAACATAAAAATATTCAAAATTTAAGTAATGATTAACATGGTTTTTACAATGAATGGTTTAGAAGTATTTATCACCATTATTTCTACTGCATGACTAACAAGTTTGTGCTACTTTTGCACATCTTGACCTTTTTTCTGTAACATACTTGGATTGTATGTGCAGTTTGCAATGTGTAAATAACACTCTTTGTTCACTTATCAATATTTCATTTTAAATACATTTTCAAAACTTACTTCCATGAAAATAAGCATGATTCTGGTAGCATGCTGCTTTAAATAATATCATAGCAAATAGATATATTTATAAGGTCATCAGTAACCTATTCAAAAATGGTGAAAAGGGAGGTAAAATAGGCAATATATCATTAGAGGTTGTGGTGAAAACAAAAGGTTAAAATGCAAAAAGAGTTATTCATTAAACTTTAAACATAAATCAAAATCAAACTGTTTCTAAGTCTGAGAAAATTGGACTATTTTCACTTATTTCTTCATATGAAACCATAACAGGGTATATGACTATACACATGGTTTAAATTCATATATAATGTAGTTTAACTCTTTTTTTCTTAAAATTTCCCAAAATGCTGAATATTTCCCCCCCAATTTATACCAGAGGCCTTTTCCCAAAACACCTGGAAAAGGCCCTTCAACAATAATATTGACTTCGGATGAACACAAATATATTGATAATTACCTATAATTCACTTCCATAACTGTTAAAATGATTTCTGCAAAATATGTTCTGTTCATGCAATTATGAAATGTTTTGTTTATAAATTCCCACGTGATTTTTTTTTCTGTCCATTTTTTCTCTGACATCACTGCTATGAAAGATGTCCACTATATATTATTGTCAGCAGTTTTAGACACGGACACCTGCTTCTGTACAATAAATGCTGAATGGCATTCATAATTTTTATTTTTTCAAAATCATTGATTCTTTCAAATTTCATAGATTATTGATTGACAGAAAGATATCAATTGATACTTGTACATCAATATTCCTTTCTATCAATGACAGCTGTTTCTGTAATTGAATGTGTCTCAAATTGTTAAAATGAGGGTCTGCCATTTCTTATAGGCATTTTATGATTTTTATCTATAATCACAATTGTTAAAGCTACACTCTGATTGGCCAATGATAGTCTACAGTCAACATACTAGGGGATACTTGCTCACTGGATAGCTTGACAAATAAGCTTTTCAGAAAAAGTTAATTTTGCAAGTTTTGAAAAAATTAATTTCTCTTTGATCTGCTAAATTTTGAAAGAAGCAAAAGTGGAAAGCTATAAAATATAATAAGTTTATTGAAACACTCTAGAATCCGTTCCTGGAACCTACCAGTACTAATCAATGAATGTAAAGTTTCTTGCTCAAGGAAACAACTGCTTGACCCTGACAGGGTTTGAACCCAAACGGTCATCAATCATTAGCTCTGACGCTTTAACCACACAGTCACACTGCCCCTTTTAAAAAAAACGTTGCGTATGACCCTTTCCAGAAGATTTTACTTCTTTAAATAAGTAGTTTCACACAATTTTCATTTATCTGCTTCACTTCCAAAAGTTCGTGACTGTCAAGAAAAGTAACTCATTTTTTTTTACTTGCAATTTGCGAGTATTAAATTAGAGCCCAGCAGGCATTATTGCCAAACCATGATCAATCAAAATCACTCAAGAATTTTTTAGCCATGGCTTCCCTGAAAGTAACAATCTTATAGTCTACTGTTTTATAGAATATAGGAAAGAGTAAAAAGCTTGCAAATAAGCCACTGAGCCAGGTTTATAACTAGAAATGTGTCATCATGCCACGGATGCCCCCGCATGAAGCCAAAATTTCAGATGTTATAATATTTAGTTCCAAATTTGTTTGCACAAATTATTTTTTTAATTTCAAGTTCAAAGCCCTTAAAACTTTTCAATGTTAACACAAACCATTTTCATACAATGTTCAAGGCACTGAAATTATTCAGTCTTAACCTTTTGAAAAAAGCATAGTGAAAGTTCAATTTTTTTCCAACATTCAAGAAAGATAAGTTTGTCCAAAATCATTGAACCACGACCAAATTCAAACTTAAACTGCTTATTCCTAAGATGTATCTATATTATTTTCAAAGTGAAAGGGACATAACTCTGCCAAATATCATCGAACCATGACCAAATTTAAACTTGGCCTGCGCCTTCCTTTGACATATCCATATGTCAAATTTGAGTTTAATATGTAACACTGTTGGGTAGATAATAAACAGAAACTGTAAATTTCATATTATTTTCAAAGTGAAAGGGCCATTACTCTGCCAAAAATCATTGAACCATGACCAAATTCAAACTTGGCCTTGGCATTCTAAAAACATATCCATAAGTCAAATTTGAGTTGAATGTGTTGTACCGTTGGGGAGACAATAAACAGAAACTGAAAATTTCATATTATTTTCAAAGTGAAAGGGGCATAACTCTGCCAAAAATCATCGAACCATGACCAAATTCAAACTTGACCTGTATTTTCTCATGATATATCCATATGTCAAATTTGAGTTGAATGTGTTGTACTGTTGGGGAGATAATGAACGGAAACTGAAAATTTCATATTATTTCA